AGTGAGACTTGTGACCTCTGGTCACAATGCAAAAACTTTATTAGGATACAGAATAGCAAAGGCTTATTTGTATTAATAAAGATAGTGCTTATGTAGCTGTGGATTCAAGAAAAAAACAGGTCCACTGGCCAGGCTTCTCTGTTTCCTTTCACTGGTTTTTTTTAGTTGCTTTTTTTTTTGCTGAGCTTCAGAGAAGTCTGAAGTCACACAGTTTAGCCATGATTTTGTTCTTAACACAGATTTTTCCATATTTGGTTATGGTTTGGAGCTATGCTAGTACTTTTTCACTTCCTTGTATTATTTTAATGCACTGTATCATTATCCACAGTGCATGCTTAACTTATGACATTGCTACATAAGTCAAGCTTAGGTCAGGTCATAATATGTGCTGTTACTCATAGCTTATGCTGTACACAGCCTATGATGCACTTATGGACTATACCTCTTCATGGCAGTTCATGGATGTTGGCATATTGGCAGTCAATCTTTGTGCCCACAGCTGTGCTCATAGTCTAGAGGAAGTGTACCTTGTTTGAAATACAGAAGCTATGAGTAAGGGTGATTGGTGCCATATATTATGGTAAACATGAGTGAAGTCCATAGTCTTGCAAATATTTCAGGTAGGCAGGCAGTAATGCCTTCATGGTTCAGGTTTTTTGTGTACAGATTAGTGATACTTACAGTTTAAGCATGGCTTTCTCAGGGAGGTGTCTAATATTCTGAATCTTCTCCGTGTCTTTTAGAAAACTCTCTCTGCTGAGTAGCACGTGCTTTGGGAATTATTTCTAGAAAGCCTTATAGTTCTCCAGTGAGAGTACTATAGTTTGATAAGATGCCGCCACCAAGGTTATGTTTATTTGCATATCTTAGGGAATCTGTAGTGTTTCCTGCGTGGTACATTTTTTCCCCTAAAGCTTGTATGGAAAGGATTTGATGATGTCTTTGAATTCAAGAATAACTGTATAGGGACTCCCTGAGGTCCTTATAATAGTTGGTGTCTAGACCATCACAGCCAGAACTGCTCTCCAACCCTACTAAGTAAAAGGGACAGCCAGTACCTGTGAGCTAAGTGTGGCTGACTGTGTGTGACTAAGCAAGTGATGTACATGTTGCTTACTGCCCTGAGTACAAGTACAAACACTTTAGTGATATAGGAGAAAGGATAAGCATTTTGGTGACTGCGTATGCTGTAAGACACCGACCTTACAATTATTCAATTTTTTTCCCTCTAAAAAAGGAAGCACAAACAATCAGCAGTATTAAAACCTAAGAAAACAGAAAAAAAAGAATTGAGAGAATGAAATTGGCCATTCCTCAGATTTTTTTTTATATAGGTCAGGTATGACTTGACATTGATGCTGACCCCAGTGGAAATCAATATCTCTATATTACTTTGTGTGCTGAAGTACTGGCACAGAATTCATCAAGTTAGTTTGGTTTTTTTAGCTGGATTAGAAGATGATCTGAAGTGAGCTGCTTGAAACTTCAAGACATAATGGACTTGAAATGTATTCAGTTAAAATATAAAGGCTTCAAACAAACATTACACTGAGAAATTTGGGGATTAGATCAAGTTAAAATAGTCTCTATCCAACTCAGTGATTAGATAAGTGTTAGGAGCCTGATCTAAGGTGAGTAAGGATAGGGGGAGGAGTAGGTGGGATTGGGTGGGATATTGGCATCCTTTGGGAGGTTGGGGAATTGAGAGCTAACAGGGTCTGTGGGGGGTTGGAGAGATTGGGAGGCTAGCAAGGTCCTCAGGGGGGCTTGGGAAGATGGGGATATTAGTGGGATTGGAGAGCCTTTGGAATCCCACCAAGCCCTCTTGGACCCCTCCAGTTCCTCCTCTCTGATGCTGCTGAACTGCCCTATATCCAACAAACTGTTCTCAGTGCCAGTTTTACCATCATTCACTGGTACCAGCTGAAGTAAATTGGAGCTGGGGGAAGCATGGGAAGATTGGGGGGGTCTGGCAGCTTCATGCGGGGCTTGGCAGGATGGTGGTGGGCTGTAGCAACTTCATTGCAAGAGTTTGTGAGGCCCAGGAGAGTTGGCAGGGACTCTATCATTCCCTTCCCCCCACCCCCCAAACAAGGAGTGTTTTGAGCTCCAAACCTACTCCCTGGCAAATCAACTCCTCAATCCCACCTGTACATCCTACCACCCCGACTTCCTTCAATCAGCTCCCAAAATCAGTAAATGCTGGTAAAACTGGCACCAAGAGCAGCTTGTAGTATTGGGGGAAGGCGGGTTGACAGGCTTAGGGGGGATCCAGAGGGGACAAAGTTGTCCATCTGGGGGCAGAGGAGATACCAGAAGGCTAAAAATAGCCTGGTGGCAGGAGAGATAGGAAAAATGCAGTCCTGGGGCTGGGTCAAATGACTGGGCTTTCCCAGCCCTTGGGTGCACTTGGAATGTGTACAGAAGTTCAGTTAGATTGGTTTAACTACATCCGATCTGACCTAGTGCACCTCTACAGTACAATGAAATTAAATTAGGTCAGTCATTTTCCGCCTGATCTAACCTTTCTGGAACTTCTGTACAGTCCACACTAAGATCAACCTAATTAGGGATCTAAGTGTAAGGTCCACACAAGGATGAACTAAGTTTATGGAAGGGCTGAGGGTTTTTTGTTTGTTTAGAGACTTACCTAAAAGACTTGCCCAAACAAAAAGGCAAACTGATTGTTTGTGTATACTGTTTTTAATTCTTTCACAAGTAGAGTTAGTAAAAGTGCAGTGAAAGACACATATAGATGAACTCAAAAAATGAAGATTCTCTAATCATAAGGTTCTTTTAGTTAGTTGTTTGTTGAATACTATCAGGCAGAAATATATTAAGACATAGGAAGATTGTTTCCCTGTCCCCTAGTCCACCCACCAAATTTGACAGTGCCTCTTTTAGACTTTTGAGAATGTTAAATTAATTGTATTATGTACTTTGAGAATTACACCTTTTGAATATTTTGTTTTATCCAAATGTTTGTCTTGCTCTTTGACTCTTTGTGTTTTCTTTTTTTAATATGTACATCTTAAATTACAAATTGGGGGAGGGATCCAAAATACAGTTTGATTTTGCAGAAGAATGGAAAGTTTTATTAGTGTTGATAAATTTCAATTTGTTCAAGGGATGTTTTGTCTAGCATTTAAAAAAAAAAGGAAACTACTTTCTGGAGCCTTCTGTGTGCATTACATTTATTGAGGAGAAGGGGAAATTCCACATTTACCCGTATTCCAATTTCAAATCCATAATATAATACACACTGGTTTATAACATAATATATCATACTATAGCTTTCATTCTGTACAACTTTAAAAGTTTTTCTTTTAATTCAAAGGCTACTTAGCAAATGGCAAAAGACATTATAAACTGCTTGAATCCCTTCCATAGTTTACTCTTCCTTCACCTCACCAAGGCTATGTTCCTTGTCTTGCTGTTTGTGGCTTTAAACAATTCCTCCTTTTTCTGTCTCTTGGCTCCTTTCCTTTCCTTTCCTTGACTTCTCCCCCCTTCTTAATCCTGTTCTCCCCCTCTTGACTTTATTCCCCATAATGGCATCCCTTTTTATTGTGTTTCGAGTGAGTTTCTATTCCTTTTAATCTTTCTTTAATTCAATTTCACTATCTAACCTTTCAGTTCTGATTACCTATAACTCTACTTCTACCTTTATGGTGAGTTGTTTTATTATTTATGCTGCTGTATCCTAATTAGATTGTACGTTCTTGGAGCCAGGAACCTTGTCAAGCCATTTGCCTTTAAAGCCTCAAATGCAGCTATGATAAATAAATTGATTAGCACTATATAGTGATGGTAATACTAAGTAAAGCTAATAAAATGGGTAAAAATGAAACCAGTCTCTCCTGCTCATTCTCCACTTTTGCAGAAACATTTTTAATTATTATTGCTCTAGCTTTTGTAGCCATATTACCACTCACTGAAAGCAACTTAATGAGTTTTTAATTTTCCCTGGCAATAAGCTTCATGGCTGACATGTTTTTGTAATTATATATGTTTTAATACCCAATGCTAATATTAGTCAGAATATCTTTTAAAGCTTTAAATGAAAATCTGTGGGAGAGGAAATGCACAAAAAGGTCTATCTTATCCCTCTATTTTTGTGTTAAACAACATTCTAGACTTAAAAATATGTTTCTCTGCTCTGTGTTTTATGAAGCAAAGTTATCATGTAAAGCAAAAAATAAGCCATTATCTAATTACATGAAAACCATGAAGGTTCACTTAAGGGTCAAAACATTTTGTTATTTATCGTACAAACTTGTACCATGTGACTCAATGTAGTCTATCTTTGTAGAAGATGCAATTGTATGATGTTTTTCACAAGTTTTCTGGCCCTGCATAGGTCATGCTTGCAAGAATATTTTCCTGGACCTTTTCTGTTTTTAGTTATAGATTTTAAAAAGATGTAGCAAAGGTTCAGGTGGAAAAGTCTTGTTGGGATAGTAGAAAGAGAAACCAATATTCCCAATACTGTGTTCACGAACTGTTGCATATGCTTTGTCTTATTATGTTGTTGAAGTTTTGAAAAAAAAAAGGTGGCTATACCATATGGAAAAGTTTGTTGATCTTTGTTTTATCCCTTGAGTTCTTAATAATGTGTTTTGACTAATAAGTGGATCTGGAAGCCAAGAGATGGGTATTTTCTGGGTTTTCCTGACCATACTCAAGGAGATTAATTAAAAAAAAAATCAGCCAATCCACCACATTGATATTATGAGTAAGCCACTTAATGGAAATATACATCAGCTTTGAAAACTGACAACAGTGTTCTAAAACCTCTTTCTGGGTACTAATTGAGTAAAACCAGAGGTTAATGTATTTGCTATGCTCAGGTTCTGCTGAGTAAATTACAGTGTTTTAAAAACTTCTCTAATCTTGGTGCAATTGATTTGCTATTTTTCAATAGGTATGTACCTTAGGATAGATCAGTTTGTCTTTTAAAACACTATTATTTTATTAGTAACTGACGTTGTATTCATCAGCTGAAGGTGCTTGTGGAGGAACTCTACGTGGGACAAGTGGAATTATTTCAAGCCCTCATTTCCCTTCAGAGTATGAAAATAATGCTGATTGCACATGGACCATTTTGGCTGAACCAGGAGACACCATTGCGCTGGTCTTTACAGATTTCCAGTTAGAGGAAGGATATGATTTCTTGGAGATAAGTGGAACCGAAGCACCATCAATATGGTAAGTTCAATGAAGGGACAATGATCCTATTCTATTTTCTTGTTTGCTGGAGAGCTGTTCCTAAGGACACATATGGGGATGGTGTTTTGTTTGTATATGCTGGTCACGAGCATTTCATTCTATATTTTTCCTCAGAATTCTTGACCATCCTGGAGTAGAAATAGTTTGATTTGGGCTTTAACTGGTTGACTATACTCCAACCCCACCTTCCCCCAGAAATGTAATTGTATTTATAGAAAGTTTTAGGCCATATGCAGGCCTAAGTATGATTAATTACCTGTGCCGGTAGGAAAATTAAAGGTGTATGTGAAATAATCTATAATTATCTGTATCTCTTACTTTTTCTGTGACAAACAATATGGGAGAACCCCAAATGACCATGCTATATTTGGTACCAGCTGTTCCTTCTCCCCTCCCTCTTCTCTCAAAAATGTTACCTTGATTCCCTAGGAAACTGGGGTATACTTTTCAGACTTTCAAGAAAGCTGGCATACTGTTAATGTTCCAGATTAAACTGTATTACTCATAAGAGTGCAGCAAGCACCTGCAACATTGACTTTGCTACTCGAGTTATATTGAGAGTGAGGGTGTTTTGTTTTTTTTTAAAGTTATGATAATCTAATCATCTGGTCATGTATGTATGTAATTCTCCCTCTATTAGATGGTGTTAGAGGTTCTGTACCGGGTATTACTGCACCTGTAACACTGTTTTCTTTCTAGAGAACAAAATTGTTCACAAAGCTGTTTATAAACGATTTCAGTCAATTAATTTCAGAAGTGCCCAGGCCTTTATTAGGGTTTGAAGCACGGGTGATCAGGATCAAGCTTTGGATATCTGGAAAGTGTTTGTGTTGTGTCTTGTCTGATGTAACCTAGACAAAACAGAATGGTAGCCAGTTATAGATAGCTAATGGAGATGATCTTCAACTTGTGCTTTTGGATTTCTGATCTGACTCAGTTGGTACCATAGTATTCTAACCAATCATACAATTAAGTATATTAATATCTTGAAGTTTTAGGTAGTTAGCAGTCGGTTTTAGACTACTTGTTTCAAGTAAAGGTGTTGCATAGTGAAGGAACTGTAAGTGAGTTTAATGACATACCTAGATTTTTCTGTTTTGTGCCTGCTCTCTAATTTTTTTACCCATCTTAGTGGCAAACATGTAGTTCCATATTGCTTTGTGCCTTAGGGCAAAACTTAGAGCTAGAAATTAAAGGTCTTTGTTCAATCCTGCAGTACCAAATAAAGATTCTGTGCGTCTATGTATGCAAAAGTCTTGGACTGGGGTCAGCAGCATATAACTTTTAAGCTGGATCTGGGCTGTGGAGCTGAGGTCTCCAGTCACGTTCTCATGGTGGGGCCAGGCAGCAAGGACCTGCACAGGGGCTGGCCAGCAGAGGGCTCTCCGGTACCAGGGCCACGCAGCAAAAAGGTGCACTGGGGTTTTGGTGCAGAGCTGTGCCCACACCACAGAATAGGGGCAGGGAGAAGCAGGATCAGGTAAGAGCAGCAGTGGCAGTGGCCAGGTTAGGACTTTTGCCTGCCTTGGACTTGAGTTGGGTTGTTCTGGCCTGTAGCTCCAAAAAGCTGCTGACCACTGATCTAGAAGGTATTTCTTGGACTAGTATTTGCACATTCATTTGTCCAAATGAGTTGATGTTGTACTAAAAGGATGTACAGGCAACATCAAGTTTTTATGTGTACAGACAGTTCTGTCCCCCCAAAACTTGGCCATAGTCATTTTTTTCCCATCATGCATTTCTTATTATAGTTAGAAAACAGGTGACTTTTTTGAGCAGGAATAGGCTAAGCAGCTAATAATTAAAAATATATCCAGTACTAACATTACTTAGTTCTGCAACTAGCTTGTCTAATATGTTTGGTTTGGAAGTATTTAATATAGCGTTGTCCATCTTCAAAGTGACTGGGGTCTGCAAACACCACAGGCTGCACCAGAAGGAGCCATATGCCTGTGGGCCACACCACAACAAGCTGTGGGTGCAGCCCAGGGCACATGTAGAACAAACTGCCTCCCCACCTACCATTGCTAGACCACACACCTGCATACACATCTCTGCACTGTTAGGTATGGGTGAGCCCCCATCTATCCCCTGACACCCTGCACTGTGAGTTCCTAGGCTTACCCTCAGTTCTCTGTTTCATGCCATGCCACCCTATCCCCTGGAGTGGGAATAGGACATGGGAGCCAGAAGAGGGAAGGAGAGCTTGGAGACTATAGCTGTAGTTGAAGCAGGGTGATGGGGGCAGTAGCAGCCAGGGAGCCACCAGTTTGATAGCCCTGATTTAGTATACTAAAATCTGATTAGTGAGCAATTTTATAGATTTAGTATACAGTCTTGGATGCAATTGTCCATCACCAAGAATTTTACTTCACAGTACTGTTACATCCTTATTGGCACATACATGCATATTTATCACATATACATACACGCTGCTGAACAGATGCCAGAACAGTAGCGTACACTCTATGTAGAACAATCAGAGTAGGCACAGAACTAACCAAAAGGAAATTCTCTCTGCTCAATATTAAATGAATTTTTTTTTTCTGAGAAATTATATCGGGAACATTAATAGGATTCTCCATCATTATCTGCTAGTTTGGAACAAAGTTACGTACTCAGTTTTGTTTTAAGCAAGAGCAGTTACCATAGCTACGCTAAAGGTATATTCACTATAGCGCATGATGTAATCTACTAAACGGAGTGATATGTTAAATAATGAAGTTCAGTATTTAAACCTAATGGTCTAATTGTGTATCATTTGAAATTGGGATATCCCCCCCCCCCCCCCCCATGCGCCGTCCCCCCCCCCCCCCCCCAGTTACTCCCATTTTATCCAGTCTGGATTCTTGTAATGCTCTAATATAGAATTTCTATTTCTAAGACATTTTTTAACATGGTCCAGTAATTATGATAGTTCTTTCAATTAAACAAATGTTTGTTGGTGGAACTAGCTGAACATTTTCATAATGAAGTGTTTAGGGAGAGAGCATACATCACTACTGCTATAGCTAAACATGGGTGGTGAGAAGAAAGATGATGATTTCTGGCTGATGATTCTTTAGTGATTTGCTTTTTCTATATAGCACAATAGCTGTGTGTGACCCTTTAACTAACATATAATTAGACAAGGTTTTTAATCCTAGGTGATTACAATCTAAATTGGGCATTACATAAACAATTCAATATTTAGCTGCAAGAGTGAGAAAACAGATTCTTAGAATAATACAGGCTAGAAAAAAATGGTTTGTCTTTTTATCACAGATTATGTAACACTACACAGGAACCTTGGGTTTACTTCAACCAATGCATACAAAGACAACTGCCTTGTACACCCAAGGATCATACATGCTGGGTAATATGGTTAAAACGGTCACTGTTATTTTATTTTGTTTGTATCCTAGGCCTCTAGTTTGTCAGTGATAAAGACAAGGGGACTGTCAAAGGAGACCTGCAGTGCTTGAGGGTTTGCATGTTTTTGTGAGTTTGTCTTCCTGATATGGCATGTGTAGTCTCTACAAATAGGTAGTGTCAAGCTGTGTTTAGCCTTACCATCTTTATGTTTATATGAATTGTGGTATTTATTGTAAATGCATTTCTTATAAGTTATAAAAGGACCATGATTGCATAATGGTTTTTATACCTGGGAGAGGCACAAAGCCTGAATGGTTAAAGAGAGGTAATCACTGGAAATCAGGATCCAACATGGGTGTGCTAAATAGCCAGGCCCTTCCAATGGCAAATTTAAATACTAAAAGAAAAGACCATAAGAATAATACCTGGCTATTCAGACCACTTGGAGGAAGGACATTTCTGACAACGGGAAAATTGAGTAAGAGGCAGTATCTTCAGGATATTGGATTAGTAATCTTGATCCCTGAAAGGATGTAAATATTCTGCTGGTTTTAATTAGAACAGGAAAGACTTCTCCTCTGGTAAACAGATATAACTTTGTGGGGACAAAGGAGATATATACCTAGTGTGGGCTCTCCAAAAATCCATTGGATGATGTGTATAAATGGCCAGATAAGAAACCATGCTTAAGCTTTGCCTTGAGAATAAGTCTTTTAGTTTCCCCAGATTTAGGGGAAGCTTTAGGCCCTCAGCCAGTGGGCTTAGTATTTTGGCTAAAAGAAAGGTCAGAAGTGCCTGGGAAAAGGTCAGAGGAAAGGGCTGCTATTTAACAGGTTGAGCTGGGTAAAAGCTACATTCTTGGGTTTAAAATGCAGGATCTGATGATTGTCTTGATTTTTTTTTTTGGTTTCTTTATTTTGATATCTCAACATGTGGTTACTGATTTAAGTTCCTTTTGTCATTATAATAAATCATTTTATTATCTTTTATAATTTACTTATTGGCAGGGAGGGCAAGTCTGATTTCAGAGTATTTGACCATACAGGCAAGCCTCTTCCCTAGAAGCAGATCCATCTTTTCTGAGTGAATGACTGGACAAGGGTGTTATCCTTCTGGCTGGCAAAGTCACCTCTGTTGAAACCTGGCAAGAACTAGGTGAAGGAAATAAAGCCACAAACCTTTGGAGCATCTCAGTCTGTCCTCAGTAGTTAAGCAGCAAACAGCAGGGTAGGGTTTCAGGGCAGATGTGAGAATACCCCAGAAGTTCCCTGACAACCCGTCTGCTGCTTTTCTCATGCACCGCATGAACAGATGCCTCCCTTCTCTCAACCTCTGTCACTTGGGCACCCCAGCCCCCTTCTGCTACACTACCCCTTCCCCAGGGGCAGGGGCAGAAATTAGAAGCCAGAGGAATGAGGAGAAGCCATGCAGCGGCTGTCGGGGTGCTCATGCCCACTCCTGGCAGAAACCCCCTAGTTGCGGCACCTCTTCAGACCTGGCGGCTGCACATAGTGCTGGCCCAGCCTGGCCCACATGTGCTCACGCAGAACTGGGCCATCTCTTGCTGTCACCCAGGGTCCTGGCACTGTAGGTAGACACTGTGTGCCCTCAGGCTGGGCTGGGTCCTGCCTCCATGTGCCCCACATGCCATTGGGCCGGGCTGGCTCCATGGAAGCAGGACCCAGCCTGGCCCAATAGCACACAGCTTCTGGCTGCACTGTCAGGACCCTGGGTGACAGCAAGAGTGGCCCGGTTTTGCCTGAGGGTGTGCACCAGCAGGACAGGCCTATGCTGTGCACCATGTACAGCCCCAGGTCTGAGACAGTGCCACACGGCCAGGGATCTCTGCCAGGAGTGGGCAAGAGCACCCCAATGGGCTCTGCTGCTGCTGGGGAGGGCTGTGCTCCATATGGGGGAGCTGGGTGGGGGGCCTACCCCTCCCAAGCAATCCCTCCCACCCCCACGGTCCCTCTCTACCCACAGTTCCCCCTACCCTACTTACCGGGGACAGAGCATGGGTCGATCCACTGCTGCAGCCTTGCCCCACTCCTATTTGCCCCAGCACTCTGAGGCAGCATGCTGGAGCAGCAGGGGCATGGGCATCCAGAGATGCTCTGGCTGGGGTCCAGAGCATCTCCTTGGAGGACCCAGCCTCTGGTTGCCTCTGGGCACACTCCAGGAGCATATCCTCCGCCACTTTTTCTGGCATGATTTTTTTTTATACTGGGAAGGATTTCCTGGTATCAAATTTAGAGCCTGCACTGCAAATATGCAGTGCAAGGAACATTATTTAGTTTTTAGCATGCCTCTTGCAGAATCTCAAACTGCTTTGAGGCACCACAACAGGCATGTGCTTGCTTGTCTGGATGTGGCCTTAGAGACTAACTGGTTCATCCTACTTCCTCAGAATCTATGCTTCCTCGGATGTTGTTCCATATGAAACCTTATGCTTATCTGAACCAGTTAATTTCTTGCAGTATTGTAACTAAGGGCCAGGCAGGGCACTATGTCTTGATGACAATTTGTGGGAGAATGTACAAACATAGCAACCACCACTGTTGCTTTCCCATCTGCCACCTCCTGGGCATAGTCCAGCACTCTAGCCAAAAACTGCTCCGTTGAGCCTCTTCATGAAGAACTATAAGTAATGCACCAGATTTGTGGGTGGTATAAATCACTAATTTCATTGAAGTCTATGGAGATAAGCTAATGTAAGTATCTAGCCCTATATCATATAATTAAAGCATCATCTACTGGATTACAATAAAGATCATCATTCCTCTAAAGTTTGTTCAATAAAGTTCTCTGTGCACTGTATAAAGCTTTCTGACTGTGCATTTTACACTAAAGAGTTTTCCTTTTCTTCACCCGCCAGAAGGAAAGACAGACTGTCATCCATGCAGACAGAGGAGGATGCGCAATTTTAGTTTTAATTAAGCTGCAGCTTTATCAACTCCTCTGAGAACCTTGCCAGGCAATAAATTATACAATGAAGGTTATCTCTCTTTCCAACTTATGTGACAAGTTGACCATTACCTCCCTTTCTGTCCAAGGAGGTCCCTGATCTGCTGTGGTGAAGGTTGTGGGTGAAGAGGGAACCTGACTTGGCCAGTACAAAAGTGAAAGAAAAAATGCTTTCTTGGACAAAGAGAAGACTGTGACTAGTATAAAGTGAACAGCATATCCTACATCCCTGTCTTACACAGATCCTTATCATAGAAGTTGCTACTAAGGAGCAAGTTGGCTCAATGAGGATATAAACACCTTTCCCTTAAACCTAATACAGTCAAATGAGCTGCTTCTATCTGCTGACCACCTATTCCATCCTTCGTAACTTCAGTGGCTTTGAGAAGCGGTGACCTTTTTTCTCTTTCCCTTAGGGCATTTATACACATACATTTGTCTGTTCCAATGCACTGGAGATCTGGAACATTGGAGCAGACTTGATTTATTGGGTCTGCTCTGCATGCGACCTTATACGCCCGGTGCTGCATCACATGATTTGTATAAACAGCAAAATGCGAGTCAGTGCTAAGAAAATGGCGGTGGTACACTTTTGAACTAAAATGCCTTTGATGTGTGTTTGTTTAAAAGTGTGCCACTGCCATTTTCTCAGTGCTGATGTACACTTTGTTATTTATACAAATGCATGCACTATAGCACCGGGCACTTTTAAAGGTGCCCACTACTGCAGCGCCAACATGTGTACAAATGCCCTTAATAAGACAAAGACTACTCTTACCCTGGTTAAGTGCAGACTGCGGTGAGTATGTTTCCTTTTAGGTTGAAAGGAAAAGACAGTCACATAATTATCCTTTGGCTTTCATCCATTAGTTTCCATGTGCAAAGTGCATAGCACATTTTGTCTGATGCATAAACAACAACAAAAGCATAATGAATATCATGCCTGGAGTTTAGCATTAATGCTGCTTAGCACTTGAAAGTTTTTTAACATTTTCAGAGATGAGTAAAAACATTAACTAGTATAGCTTTGTCATCCAGACAAAATTTTATATTTGCAAAGTGCAGCTGAAAATATTTCATAAGATAGTTTAATGTACAGAATGAGAGAGGAAGATAATTTGTGTTTGTATATGCCTCTTCAGAGGATTGAAGAAGTACAGATGAAGTGGGCAGGATAGAATCCTGGATATTTATAAAATCTTTATTTTATTTTACATGACAAAGAGTACAAAGTGTTATGTTAACCAGGGCTAAGTACAGATGTCCAAAAAGCCCCTGGCAGAAAGTGTGCTAACTATCGCACTTTATTTAAAGTGCTGTAAGTTACAGCATGTTCCAGCTGAACAGACATGCATCGTTCCGTTTGGGGGGTCAGGGCTTGGTGCCAGCCTCCACCAAGGAGCCCCTGCCAGGTAGGTCCCCCCCAACTTCCCAGCTTGGTTTTTAGTGGGGGGAGAGTCAAGCCCATGCTGTAGTGGGGCTCATTTTTCATACACCCCCATCATAGTTCCCAGCACAACAAAAAGCAGTGCAGGGAACTCATGCTGCTGCTGCTGGTTGCAACTGAGGGAAAGGAGCCCCCTGCTGCACAGATCAGTCCTGCCCCCAACCAAGGCAAAAGCTAGCACGCATGGCCAAATGCCAGAGCAACCCTGCTCTGCAGCTTCTGGCTGCAACTTCCAGGACACTTGCACAGGGTATGGGTGAATAGAGCCCCTCTACCATGCAAACCCAGCTCAGCCCCTCCTGAGCCCCAAGCCAGCAACTTGTGGAGAGGTCCTCATAGTCAGGGCAGGGGGACACTTCTTTCCTTTTTTTCCTCAGTGGCTGCTTACAGTCACCAGCCTGCACAGGAGGGTGTGGGTAGGGAGGGGGGGCCACTCCAGCAGCAGCTGTCAGGAGACAGACCTCAGACTCCTCCTTCTCCAGCACCCTCCTGGCCAGGTATGTATGTATGTATGTGCTGTGACGTACTGCAGGGCTGGGGCAGCTGCAGGGACAGAAACTCCCCTGTCCCCACCACCCAGCCAGGCTGTGCTTGTGGCTGGGATCAGAGGCTTTCACTGACTCAAGTCAGTAACAGCCAAAGGGATGGGGCCAGCCCAGTGCTTGGACTGA